AGGTGCCCCCAACCCATCCCCCCCCCCCCCCCCCCCCCCCCCCCCACTATCCTTCAGCACCTCCATAAAGTACCCCCCCTCACCCACATCAGGATGTCCAGAGGGGTGTCGGGTAGCGTGGAGAAGCCCCCCCGTCCCGAGCGGGTCGTGCGCATCAGATGGGACAGCAGGACGAAATTCGGGGGCACCTGGCAATCCCTGGGTTCCAGTTTCAGGTCCAGTGCTTAGACAACAAAGCCCCCCCCACTCCACCCACACCAGGTCGCTGTCTCGCTTACACTTGCACCCAACCCCCCAGGTTTAGTGGTCTGACACACATTTCTCAGTACAGTCAGAAGTTTATTGAGAGCAGTGCGTCTTCACGGTGGGGGGGGGCTCCCTGCATGCGGTTCCGTGGCGGGCTCCTGGTGCGCAGTCCTATTGGGGGGGTCCAATCGTGGTTCGATGGAGGCGCTCCCGGCATGCCGACCCATGGGGGGCTCCCCGCACGCAGTTCCGTGGGGGGGCTCCAGGCACGCTGTTCTATTGGTGGGCTCCTAGCGCGCTGATCCATGGGGGGGTTCCCAGCGTGTGGTTCTGTGGGTATGTTGGTCGCTGGCAGTAAACTTTGGCTTCATCTCAGGCTGCATTAGACCTTCCAAGTGAAGCATATTTTACTCACGGTGTTTGTGCCACAGAACTATGTGGAAAAACAAGCAGGAAAGTAATTAGTTCATGTAATAGATGCAGCAAGGATTGTTGGTGATATGACTCTACATACAATCTATTTTAGCACAGCCTCGTATGATGCTCATGTCGCGTCTCCCTTTGCTACTGAAGCCTTCTGTTTGCCGTCTGTCATTTATCTCCATGATGATATCTTGCTGAGAATGATGCCATGCCGAATTTTACAGTCTTCTGTTTAACACTTTGGTAGAATATTCTGGTAACAAGCCCATGGTTTTGCATCAGTGGCCATAAGCCGGGTGAATTTTTCGGATTCCTCACGCTGTCATTGACCCCCCCGGCCATGAAGTCCTACTGTGCGGCTTCTCCTTCTAGCAGGAGGAATTATTGAAATTTCTCACAAATTTTACACACATTTGTTTATGTGATGAGGGCTGGGTTTGTCCATCTCCGGGGGCTCTGCAGTATCGGGGGGTGTAGTTGTCCGGCATTTGGCTGGAAGAGAATCGAGGAAATTCCACATAGAGCCAGTTGTACCATTCAAAAGGATGCTTCAGTTGTTGAATATTCACTTGTATCTCATGTCATTCATTGAATAATGTACTGAAAGTGAAAGACATTTAGCCATCGTAAAGTATAAGAAGTATTGTAACACAGACCATTGTAACTGGGGAAGTGTCTGTATTTGCTCCAAAAAAAAATAAAAAATAAAAATTTACATTACAACAATATGTGAATTAAGAGTACCAAGAATTTCGGGTGCACTTTACCTGAGGGGGCACAGCAAACTTAGTTACTCAGTTACTACTCAATAACAAATCATGAATTAATATAGTTCCTGTATGAAAAACATGAACTGTCATGATTGATTAATAATAAACGAACATGGGATCAGTACGTAACTAACACTTAGTTACTGGTTAATTAATGCATTAAGAAAGCATGTACTACTACATTATTTGTGCCCCCTCAAGAAAAGTGTGTTCTCCAAAACATTACTGATATCTAGTTAGACGGCTAGATGAACACCGCTTCAGTTCCCAAACCTCTCCTCAGGGGCACATCAGCCATTCTTTATACTCGCTAAATTTCACCACATTCTGATTTAATTACCTCAGTAAGTTAAATAACTTACTGTCTTGGACTGTTGCAAATATTGGGGTGACTTCAGGAGAGCTTTAGAAGTGACTAAGCTGACACACTTTGACAGACATAATACCAGTTTTACACCAAGATGAATATTATTTAAAGATCATTTTCATTGACTGCCTTAGACTTTTGCACAGTACTGTATAATTACACCATCCACTCATGCTCCAGACTAAAAACTTTTCAACTGATGGATCTTCAGCACATTTCTGACTGTCAGTGCCGCCTCAATGTGTTTTTTTTAACTCGGATACGGATTTGTAAGTGTAGAAAGATTTTAAAGTGAAATGTGATGAGCTTCTTTTGTTCAAGCTTCCAGCTGAGACTGATTGACAAAATTCTGATTGCACCGAGACAGTGATGTCAGAGTTTCTGTTTTGCAGTATTTCCCAGTTGCTGGGTGATGTCAGTTTGTATATAAAAGTCACACATTTTCTAGCTACCATGCTATTTAGAAAACTGGAGGAACATCATAGCAAATCTAACTTGTCCTCAGGTTCGAGATGGCTTCTCGGAGGCCTCCATCGTGAGAACCACAAAGATCTATTCCATTCCGTCTTCCGAATTCCACCGCAGAGTTAATGTTCTGTGAGGGTCTGCTAGGATAGCGGTTCTAGGGTATCCGAGAGACAGTGTTGCAGACGTGTTACGCGACACTGCCCGCTATTGAGTTGGGCTTGTGATGTGTCAGGAAAACCCAGGCACAGCAAGAGTTTGACAAGACAAGGGGGCAACACTGACGGCTTATTGTGTGCCTATTTGGCCAGTCTTACTACCGTCTCACTTGTCCTTGTGTTTTCTCCTGCTCTGCATTTGAGAAGAGGACAAGAACGTCCTATCAGAATATATGGTCAGAGATGAGCGACAAATGTAGTGAGGGATTCCCAGGTGATGATGTCATTTCCTGAGCTGTCCAATGGGAGGGACTCTTATTAGTGTTCTTTGTGACTATATTTGGGCGCTTTCCCGTTTTGGGGTTGAGTCCTCACCTGACCCTCTTCCTGTCCCGCCATCCAGATGACATGGCGCCCCCAGTACCGCAGCTCCAAGTTCCGGCACGTGTTCGGCAAGGCCGCCACCAAGGAGAACTGCTACGACGGCGTGCCTATCACCCGGAGCGTCCACGACAACCACTTCTGCGCCATCAACCCGCGCTTCATCGCCGTGGTCACCGAATGTGCCGGAGGCGGAGCCTTTCTCGTCCTCTCCGTACACCACGTAAGGGGGAGCGTTCGTCTTATTCCCGTCATGGATGTGATAACCTACAAAATTCCCTCTCTTTGTGAGAGGTTCCGAGTTACACAGAAACATCCGGTGATATAGATCACAGCTCTGGGTGTTTTAAGATTCTCTCACGGTTAGCGCTTAGAACGTGCAGGGGTAGTGCGTGGCTCAGTGGGTTGTGACACTGCTGCCGCGATCGGAAGGTCATTGGTTTGAATCTCAGGGTCAGCAGAGTGATTTCACCTTTGGGTCCATGAGCAAGGCTCTTAACTCCATTTGCACAAGGACTTTCTGTTTAAAAAAAGAAAAAAAAAAGTTTTAGGAGAAATTGTCCACTAAATAAGGTAAATGTCTCTCTCTGGCACTTGTGAAATTCCCCTGTAGGTTTACATCTTTCGTCAACAGTGGGGAAAAATGTCTCATATCAGAAATATTTTGCTCATGGTCGTTATACAGTCAGAATGTTTCTTGGTCCTCCTGATTGAGGGGGGGGGGGCGGGCAAAGCCTTAAATAGATGGCCCCTCCATCATGTCCTCGCAATTTATTAAGCAACTGTATGACTCAACGAAGCTCTGCTCCTGCTTTTTGTGTTAGGCTTTTAAGCTGTGTTTTGGATACATCAACTGTGTTACTCAGGAATTACATACCTCTTCAGGAATGGTTCCTTTTTTTTAATCCCCCCCCCCACCACCAGAGATCTGTTAGTTGTGATTGTGGAATAACCACACCATTGTTCTGTTACGCGTCACCATCCAACTCATCCCCTCGTCTGGTGAATTTATGGCCGCCCCTGCCCACTAACCCACCTGTGACGGTTGTGAAAGAGCTTCTCGTTGCTCTTCAAAGCCGCTGGCTTTCCTGAATGACATCACCCATCGCGTCGTGCCCGGAGCGCCCCTTTCCCGCCACCGTGTGTGCCAACGATGACGCCATGCGGTGTCGTGAGATTACAGTAGAGGTCACTGACTCCCGCCAGGTGACTATGGCGGAGTCGCGTTTGGCAGGACCTGGCGAAACGGCCAATACAAATATCTCGTTCGGCGCGGCCGTAACCGTCACCACGAATGTCGCTCTTTAGCCGCCAAAATGCAGAGCGCCCTCTTTGTGCCACTTGCAGAGGAGTCAGGCCCGTGTGCCGACTTGCTCCCGCAGCCTGAAGTCAGTATTTTGCTGGTATGTTCAATCTCCTGCCCCAACTTGTTTTGCTTTGCTGGAAGAGCAGAACAGGAGCTTGATGACCTTAAACCAAGATGAGATACAAAAGGAATCAGATAAAGATGTCAAGTCAAACCCGATAAAAGTAAATAAAAGCTAAACTGAGGAAAAAATAAAAATAGCCAGAGAATGAAAGCTCTGATGTGGCTGGCGGTTTACGTTGATGCAAGAGGACGGGCAGATTTCGTGTGATTTGTTGTGGTTTCTTGTTCACGGGCAATTTTGGTAACTTGATAGGGAATGGTAGCTGCTCCAGAACTGCCGGCAGCATTTTCAGTCTGTATTTATTCAGAACTCTGTTGCACACGCAAGGGCGTCAGCTATGTGAAAAAAATGCCAGCGTGCTGTAAATTTACGGCCTGTCGAGCCCGTCCGAATCGCAGGCCTGTTCCGTAACGTGGGTGATGTCATTCTCAGGTCTGTTCCATTTCGTCTCGCCGCCCGTGATGAACCGGGATGGGGGGGGGGGGTCCCATCCTGTTCCTGTACAAACCAAATACCCAGATCGTGATCTAGTTAAGAGAAGAATGGTTTGAGTGGGACCAAATCCAGGACAGAGCTGGCTGACCTCTGACCTGGAGCGGGGCTGCTTTTGGTGCTTTTCTGAGTAGATGAGCCTTTGAGGGGCGTGAGGTCACAGGGCGTGACCCCCTGATCCCACTCTTTCTGTTCCTCAGACTGGGAAGGTGGACCCCCATCACCCCAAAGTGTCTGGGCACAGGGGAAACGTCATGGACATCAAATGGAATCCCTTCGATGACCTGTGCGTCGCGTCCTGCTCCGAGGACGCCACGGTAAGTCAAGAAACGTCCGATCGTAAACACAAGGCTTGAGTGACTGTTGGCCGACCATAACAAACTTTCTGCCTTTGCAATCACCCCTGTAGTGCAGTAGTCACAAATCTGAGTCAGTGCTAGCAACCCAGAGCTTAACCCAGAGATTTATCTCATAACGAGACTGTTAGTCAGGCCAGTGATTATGATGACCCTTCTTGCCCTGTCATATAGGGCGCCTCGAATAGACAGTTTTTCTGCTCAGTTGCGTAGGCGTAAATAAGACCTTTGACTCTGCGGCTGTTTGCACCGACTCGACCTTTGCCGCGTTTAATAGGTGAAGATCTGGGACATTCCTAAGCACGGCTTGCTGAAGAACATCACCGTTCCCCGGAAGGATCTGCAGGGCCACTCGCGCAGGGTGGGGCTCATCGAGTGGCACCCGACGGCCAGCAACGTGCTCTTCAGCTCCGCCTACGACTACAAGGTACCAAGGTGCCATTCAGGGCAGCCAGTAGTCGCTGTTTTTCTGAGATGTTGGTTCTAGAATCGATGGGGCTATTAGAGAACACAGCCATCTGTCTCCATCCATAGCTGCCTATCTCTCAACCTAAAGGACTTAGCATTTTCACATTTTTACAGCTGGGTATTTTACTAAAGCTCAGATTATGTAGCGTTCTGAAGAATCTAACTACAGAACCACTCACAGAACCAAGCCCTGAAAATATGATTATAGCTTACTTTGGCTGTTTCTTTGCATTGAAAAGCATGATTGAACAAGACCCATCTTGCCCTGCATGGGCATCTACATGGGCTGAAAGGGCGTCTTGTATCCCCGTGTGACCCCCCCCCCCTTCCCTCCCCTCTACCATCCGCTTCGCCCCAACGTACAGATAATGGTGTGGAACCTAGATTCTCCGGAGCAGGTGATCAAGAACCCGGTGAAGACCATCAGCCTGCACACCGACATGGTGCTCTCCATGTCCTTCAACACGGACGGCAGCCGACTGGCCACCTCCTGCAAGGACAGGAAGATCCGGATCATCGACCCGCGTACCGGGGCTCTCCTGCAGGTGTGTTCCGTGTGTTCCGTGTCTGGCTGGGGGATTAAGTGCCGCTGGTCCCCGCAGTCATCTAGTCATCTATCTTTGCTCAATCTCGTATTTAGTGTTTCCCAACCCGGTCCACGTTTTTGCTCCCTAGCAGATCCCTTTCAGACAGTCTTTGCTCCCTCCCAACTCCCTATCCGGTTCCACACAGACAAGGTTGGGAAACGCTGCTCTAGTAGTGGTAGTAAACAAGAGCAGCATGGGTAACATTAGAACTAAATAACACGTACTTTTATTCTATTCTATACTTATTGATCAGAATAAAATAAGCAACTTTGAAATCTTGTAAAAGGGCTATATAAATACAATGGATAGATAGATAGATAGATAGATAGATAGATAGATAGATAGATAGATAGATGTCTTTATTGTCTCTATACAAGTACAGCGAGATAGTGTTGAAGCAAAGAAACCAGCAGATGCATATAAGAAAAGCAACATTAGGGAAGAGAGAAAACTAAGTCTAGTAATTAACTAAAACAAAGTAGGTAATTTAAAAGAATAGAATAGAATATAAATGGTAGAATCAAATAAAAATGAAATATAAAATAAAATATAGTGTAATGTAATAATAAAATAAATATAAAAAGTAGGTAAAGTTTGGGTAAGATAAAAAAGAAGTCCACAGAATGTTCACAGTATGAGTAATACTGATTAAAGTGCCATGTGGTTAAGGTGCAAGTGACAGATGCAATGACAGAAAGTGGTGCAGTGGTAACAGGGGTATGTACAGTTGAGTAAAGTGCATGAGTACTGCACCACAATTATTACACCGGCTAGATGCTAGAGGCTAGATGTATTATTGTCATGGTGGCCTAGTCATATGCCCGTGTGAAAAAATCAGATTCATGGTGCACTCGTTAATAAGACGCAGCCCTATTGGTCCGTTTGAAATTGATTTGACTGCCGATTGCCCCCTTTGGATTATGGGAGTTTTAGATGTAAACACTTTCAGCAGGTTTTAATGTGTAATATATTTGTAATATTTCTCACAATTTCTCACAGATGCTTCTTACACGAAGGAATTGGAACGGTGTCTTGCCCAAAGTCTGGCCCTTGTCACGAGGCCTTTGTTGATAAGATAGGGGAGGATTATTTTGCGTAGAAGTAGCGGTTAGTGGAGCTAGCACTGCGAGGGTCTTCTTGTAGCAGAGCGTGGATAATCTACTGCCCTGGGCCCCTCCAGCACCACACATGCAAAACTAACACCTCCTCAAAAGTCGTCGACGGGCCATAGTTTGCCAGTGACTGGGCCAGCATGTCTGACTCATGGTGTCATCCTGTCACCACGCTGCAATGGCTCAAGGCCTTGGGTTTGAAGATCCAGGAGTGTGTGTCAGAAATGTGTGAATTTCCCCCCCCCTCCCCCCCCCATATTTAATGAAGGAAAAAAATACCGAAAATCTATATATATAGGTTTTTTTTAGCAAAACATAAATTTTGCATTTGTCATATTTTATCTAATTGCAATGTCTCTTTACTTCTTTCTAATCTTATCTCTTCTGTGTTTTCAGGAGGCTAACTGCAAGTCACATAAAGCCAACAAAGTGTTATTTCTAGGGAATCTGAAGATGCTTATTTCAACCGGAAATTCTCGGTGGAACCACAGGCAAATAGCTCTCTGGGATCAGGTAAAATGAGCAACGCTCGTGTGTTACTGCCCCCAAGTGGTGATACAGTGGAATGACATTTCCAATGCACTGACGTTCCGTCGCTATTCTGTAACAGCTATCTAGATGTCATTGTCGGCTCAATATTTTTTTTAGGGAAAAACCCGTTTCAGTAAAAATAAAGGGATATTTTAATTTCTGAAGATAAATGGGCTCACACTGAGATACAAGCAATTAGAATTACCGCTACTAATTAACATAACCATAACTGCAATCTGCACTTCAAAAAATTCTTAGATTTTTTTAAACTTTCAATATTCTTACCGCTCATTTTGTTAAATTGTTTTTATTTCGTTATTCTTCTACCTTGTTTGTTGCACGGTCTGGAGGAACGACATTTAATTTCACTGCTGGTGTAGCAGTACATTCATGCACGTGACAATTAAAAATCTCGAATCTAGTAATATGGGTGATTTTTTGCTCTTGATGTAAAGTATTGCAGAGTTTCTGCAATAAGGCACATGTTGCTGATTTTCAATAACGGCATGTTGGTTTCTGTGTGTGTGTGCGTCTGTGTGTGCGTGTGTCTGTGCGTGTGCGTCTGTGTGTGCGTGTGCGTGTGCGTGTGCGTGTGCGTGTGTGTGTGTGTGTGTGCCCCGCCTACAGGAGGACCTCTCTGTGCCTCTGTTACAGGAGGATCTCGACGGCTCGTCTGGTGTGCTGTTTCCGTTCTATGACCCTGACACCCACATGCTTTATGTGGCAGGAAAAGTAAGTCCTCCCCCCCCAAAGTAGCAAGGAGTCCAGATAATGGGGCGAAACGATACGCGTCGCTTTGGGGGAAGTCGACTATGAATTATGAGACGCCAACGGTTTCTTTCAGGGCGACGGCAACATCAGATACTACGAAGTCAGCTCAGAGAAGCCCTACATGCAGTTTCTAACGGAGTACCGCTCACTGCTACCTCAGAAGGGAATGGGTAAGCTGGGTTCGCGGCTAACCTTCTCACCATGCCTCTCTGTTGCTTCCCCAACGTGGATAGAACATGCCATTGATGTTTGCTCAAACCTTCTAGAACTGTGGCCCTCAGTACCACACCAACATATAGCTGAATCTCCTTGGCTGTTACGGATTCTCTGTGCTTCGCTCGTCTGTGTGATATTTTTTGTCCATCAGAGACGAGGTTCCCATTTCCTCCCCTCAGGGATCATGCCGAAGAGGGGCTTGGACGTCTGCTCCTGCGAGGTGTTCAGGTTCTACCGGCTGGTGACAATCAAGGGCCTGATAGAGCCCCTCTCCATGATCGTCCCCCGCAGGGTAAGATCCAGAACCGAACTGGAACCAACACTGGGGTGGAATGCTGGTCTGGAGAACAGTTGTGTTCTGACAGAGGCAATTAAAACTGGGAATCAAAATATGCGTTACATTCATTATATTTTGCTGGATGGCCTTGGGGGCCACCAGGGAACACACTTAATTTATAAAGGGGGGGGGGGTTGAAATAATGAAAATTCTGATGAGCAGGCCACAGGGAGGTGTCAGATCTGGTTAAATTGATGGGAGAAATAAGGCTGAATGTGAATGAAGATCACTGGCTGTCAATCATTGGTCGAATATGACGGGAAATAATAAAGCGGCCAATAAAAAATGGGATGCTCCACTGCATGATTGACGGCTCACGATAATCACAGCCGTCACATGCTTGGAGGCCACAATCCTCCCAGCACCAGATACAAGTGATGAAAGCTTGTAGTCTCCTGGATCTGAGGCGTGTGGCTTGTTCTTATTCTGTACCCAGTGGGCTGGAAGGTTCCAGGACATGGGCGCTTGGGTTGGGTGCTGTAGATACTTGACACCTTTTGCTCTTTGCGCCACTTGCAGTCGGAATCATACCAGGAAGACATCTACCCCATGACTGCCAGCAACGAGCCCGCCATGTCGGCATCGGACTGGTTCTCCGGCCTGGATAAAGGTCAGAACCTCATACAGAGGGTTCCTGTTACGGTCCCTAAACACCATTCAAAGTCCAACATTGCAACTTTCCATATAGAATAATGTAGCCTTACATTCCCTGTAGTATCTCTTTGTTCTGCGTTCCCAGAATTCCTCAGAAGTCTGAGGCTTTTCAGTATCCGTGAGCCTTTCTTAGGGTTTGCATCCAGCAAAACCCCACAGTTTGTTGCCGGTATGATTTACAGCGTGGTGCCTCTGTTTGTCCCAGACAAATTACCTCCATCTTTGGATATCTTCCAGCCATGTATAGGTGTCCTAATCGCATTTATTATCCACTTTGCAGAGGTTAACGAAAGACTAATTAATTACTCTGAGGCACGGTTTATCAGTAGAGCTACTGGAGCCAAAGATTCCTCAGCAGTTTGGTGGGGGGAGCCGCCATCCATTTTCCCCCATGACTTGGTGAATTGGTAGTTCTTCATGCCTGCTTTCTGCTACCTCAAACTCTATTTTTTTTTTTAATGTAGAATCATGTCTCTTTAGCGTTGAGCTTCTGTTGTTGACCTAGCTTTTGTTCTGGCAAAATTTTAACAAAAACCATTGTACATATAACATATTCCTTACCCCCCCCCCCCCCCCACTTTTGCTCTTTTCCAGGCCCCTTGCTCATGTCATTGAAGCCAGGCTCCAAATTACACGACTCGTACTTGGACTCCGTAGAGGCGAAAGCCCCGATCAGCGTCCTGGAAGCCAAACGCTCCCAGACGCGCCCCGGCCAGATGCAGCTGGCCCATGTGCAGGAGACGCTGGAAACCAAAGAGAGCAGGGAGCCCAAGATCTTCAACGACCTGAAGTCTTGGCAAGGGGACAGCGTCCAGGATAAGGGTGTGACATCGGTGACTAACGGACGGGAACCACTGCTGTGTTCACCTCCCAAAACTGAGAATGAGGTACTTGATATGGTCAGGAAGATGGTGATGGGGGGGGGGGGGGGGGGTTTAAACCTTACTTTATGTTATTCTTTAACTGAGTTATGGTAACTTAAAGACACAGTAGATGTAGTTTTGTTCATTTCCTTACAGACTATCATGGGGGCAATATGGGGTTTAAGGTTTCATAATAAATAATGCAACGTGCACACAGAGTTAGCTTTTAGGTAGGAGTGTGAGCTTGCTGTAGTCTGCGATAGTGCCGGGCCGGGCCAAGGCGGAGCAGGAGCGTACAAAGAAACCTGTCAGCATGAGCAGTAAGAGCCGCGGATGTGGGCGCTGCTGTCGTGGAGGGTTTGGTTTGAGGGCCGCGGATGGACCGTGGATTGAATGGCCGTGTTGTGTCTGTGTGTGTGCGTCTGTGTCTGTGTGTCTGTGTGTGTGTGTCTCTGTCTGTCTGTGTTTGTCTGTGTGTGTGTGTGTCTGTCTGTGTCTGTGTGTGTGTGTGTGTGTGTGTGTGTGTGTGTCTGTGTGTGTGTCTGTGCTCCACAGCTCCTGCAGACCTTCTACCGGCAGCAGGATGAGATTCGGCGCCTCAGGGAGATGCTGTGCCAGAGGGACGTGCGGATTAAGCAGCTGGAGCTGGAGATCAAGAACATGAGGAACTCAAGAGGCGTGTACTGAAGGAGGCGGCCCCCGGACGGACGGGCCCCAAACCCTCGGCACTGCCACCACCCCCTACTGCACCCCCCCGCTGCTTTGTGCTTCAGACTCCCTCAAAGGGGGTACCTACTAGGGGCCTGCAGGAAGCCTGCCCAGGAGTTTGGTGTGAATATCGTACCTTTTTCTACGCGCCACATGACAATATCGCGCTCAACTCCGTGTCCATTTTTGAGCCACGAAGTTGCCGTTTATGTCTTGTTTTTTTTAATCATTTTCTTTATGCCTGTCAGTAATAAATGATTATCTCTCGCCGAATTCCATTTTTGGGAACTTCCCAAGGGAGAATCGGACATCCTTGTGATTGATTCAGGTGACCCACTGATTTTTTAATTTTTTTTTATTATTACCCATGAATTTTAATTACTGTATGTTGGTGTATGAATGTTGATACTGCCTTATGATTTTATTAGGTTGTTAATGACGACGGGTAGAATAGTCTTCTGCTCTTGAGCATTTAAAGAAGCTGATTTCCCCCCCCGCACCATTTTTGTCATATAAACTCGGCTCAAATGAATATCTGGTGTAATCTAGACCTGTGTTCATCGGGTGCTTTGTCTCCTTTTTATTTTGCAAATAGTTTTTCTTTTAAGGCATTTATTTATTATTATTATTATCGTCATTGTTTTCTGTTGTCTGGGCTAAAAGTCAGCCAAAAAAAATGATCATTGTCAGGAGACAAATATCACATTCTGTCATATCTTTTATGTTCTGCTAAAAAAAAAAAAATCCCAGGAGCGACAACTTTGCGTCATTGCCCCGGACTTTCTCAGGGTGATGACAACAATTAGCAGACGTTGTTAATAAAATAATCAGACGGCACAGGGTCTAGAAGGGCTGTTTGCTAGGTTTGACTATGAATAATTGCGGAGTGAGGTGACCATTCGTTACCCGCGCGCTCGCCCTTAAGGTGGGTGCTAATCGATACAACAGCTGTGTTTTGCACAGGGTGTGCAGGGGTGGGGAACTACGGTACCAGTGCTACTCATTGCTGGTTGTCTGCACTTTTCATGCACAAACTTTAATCTTTAATAGTCTTCATTTTAGAGGAGGGCCTGCCACTGTGTTGCACCGACGGATACATCCTGTATTCCTCGCGATGCAGTGATCGGAAACTGGGAAACAAAAATTATGATGTTATATTAGAAAGCCACGTGCCTGCATAATTTTATTCCACAAGTATAGTTGCGCCTCACTGAGTTGGGCAGAAATGTTTTAAGACATGGAATAGATCTTAGAATGAGGCGCGCCTAAGGAATATTTCTTGTAAATGAACATTTCCCGCAATGATAACTGTAAATGTAATTGTCTTGAGTCTGAATTTCTCATAAGTGGTCAAGGCAACAGTGCAGGGACGCAGCTGGAGGCGCATTTATAAATAGCACGGTTTTCGGCTGACGGTCATAAAATCTTAATACTGTGCTCATCTTGGGTTTTAAATCAATCTCATAAACTTTGATCAGGATTAGTGCTGGATTTCCACCACAGTTACGGCGCCCACTGCACACACTCGCACTAAAGTACATTAGTTAAACTGATACTTAGTACATTATGCAATGTAAGTGCTTCTGGTGTTTAATATTTAGGGAATACTGGATCATAGATAAAAAATTGGCGCCTGCAGAATGAGTTTACTTTCCCGAGTTTGTCAATGTGTATATATAAATATATATGAATAGATAATACAACAAAATCATACAAGAGTAACCTGATTCTAATGCCAATATAATGAACGTGTAACGTCTTTTTCTATACTGCTGTACACTGGTTTCTGTCAGCACTGTAACCATGAGTTTAAAAGGTACGTGTTCACTACTTGTAGTCTTCAGATGTAAAATATTTTTGAAATCTTAAACTTTTAAGAGGTCGTCACTACTTCTGAAGAGCATAGACCTAAATCGAAAGATGGAAAGATTTAATAGCCATTTGGAAACGGCAGTCTTGTTGTGATCATTGCGCGAATGGGGATGGTGAGAGGGTAATTATTTCGCCCAGGGAGTAGTTTGTGTGAATCTGACAAGCCAGACTGATATAAGCCCATAAAATGGTGCTTAGGCTAGGACTCATTAGAAATGCTTCTGATTATAAGTATGAAGAGCGTGGTGAAGGAAATCATCGCCGGACCTGAAGTCAAAGCCAAATAAATCGTAGCGTCTCCGTAGCAGCTTAGTGACTGGATTCAAGGGCGTAACTTTGGCTGGAACATTTGGGGGG